AGCAACCTTGGTGAAGAGAGAAACACGACTGAGTTATGACAGTCTCAGGTCCAAACAACAGAGCAGAGCAGCTTCTCCAGTACTAAGAATAGTGTCTTCCTGTGGTTTCCTAATGCTGTCCCACCAGCGAGCAGGGGCAGGAGGGGACACGGCCCCAAAGGCCCCCCACTTCCCGTCCACCCAGTCCCATCTCCTTACCCTGCCTTTCTGAGCGTCCTCTGCAAATCTGTCAAGGATCCGTGTACTGCTTTCATGATTCTTATAATATATGCGCATTCAGCTGCATAACATATTTTAAGTCAACCGACGTTATGCACCTAAATAAATTTATCTGCTAAAGAGACTTTACACCTCTGCTTTTATAAGAATGTCAGAATCAATTTCCAGAAGTGCTAAGTGGCCGCACAATAAACATAGTGGCAACAAGTCAGTGTAATTATATTCTGGCAGACATCACGCCCTTCAAGGGCTCCATGCCTGAGGCCGTGCACTTGTTAGAAAAGGGAGATCAGCCAGTGTTGGGCATCAAAGACACAGCCGCCGCAAACTAAAACTTTATCCTTGATGTACACAACCAGAGACTCAGAGAGTCCAAGGGGAGCCTATCTGACCACAGGATGCTGTGACATTCAAAGCCCCTCTCACTTACATGGAAAACAACGGTGCTCACAAGTGTCCCAGGCCACCGCCCACCTGGGAAGTGTGTGCAGCGGGTGGGAACCAGGTTAAGGATTGTCCCAGGTACCAGTCCACTCCTACTCTTCCCTTAAGGGAAAAGAACCACAGTGTTTCTCTCCACATTAAAGAAAGTATCCGTTTGCAACAAATTGGGCATTTTGAAGCAGGTCCTGTTCCACAGAGGGTGTGAGATGCACCCCTGCAGAATCCTCTCTGCTGCCTGCTGCCTGCTGAGGCCACACTCTGGGAAACAGGCACCCTGCCATCAGCTTCAGTACATTTCAGTTTCAGAGGCTGAATTCATCTCATTCATTCGCTGGCAAGCGTTCCTTGTGTCCTTGCTCTCTTCTCACTGACTCAGCGTTTTGAAATAGATGACAAAACAACATCTTCATGATCACCATCACCACCATCATCATTGTCACTGTCATTGTCACCTTTATCATCAGTGCCATCACCATCATCACTGTCATCACTGTCACTATAATCACCATCATTGTCACCATCACTGTCATCATCACCATGACTGTCATCACCATCCTCACCGTGGTCATCATCATCGTCACCCTCACTATAATCATCACTATCATCACCATCATCACCATCACCGTCATCATCATCGTCATCATCACCACCATCATCATTGTCATCATCACCATCACTGTCATCATCACCATCACTGTCATCATCACCATCACTGTCATCACCATCCTCACCACGGTCATCATCATCATCACCCTCACTATAATCATCACTATCATCACCATCATCACCATCACTGTTGTCATCATCACCATCATCATCGTCATTATCATCATCTTCATCTTCATCGCCATCATCATCGTCGCCATCATCATCATCACCATCATCGTTACCATCATCATCCCCATCACCACCATCATCATCATCACCATCATCTTCATCGCCATCATCATCACCATCATCGTTACCATCATCATCCCCATCACCACCATCATCATCACCATTATCTTCATCATCATCATCATCACCACCATCACCATCATCACCATCACCACCATCACCATCATCATCATCACCACCATCACCACCATCACCATCATCATCATCACCATCATCATCACCACCATCACCACCATCACCACCATCATCATCACCATCATCAGAGCAGTGTCCATTTACATAGCAATTACCATAGGCCAGGCACTGACACTGTTCCAGGACCTTTAAATATAAACATAAGTAACTCATTTCATCCCTGCAATGACCTCGAGACAGGTACCATTATTACTCCCATTTTTACAGGTGAGGAGACTGAGGTTCAGAGGGGTAAAACAGAGTTGCCCGAGGTGACTTGGCTAGTAGAACTCAGGGTCACACGTGGGCCATTAGGCTCCTGTCCACTCTTCTCGTCCCCCTTTAATCTCATTCCTGACATCAAGCTGTGCTCTATGAGCCAGACACCCTGCAGAGGGTCTACCACATGGGATGCAGGCCAGGCCTGTGAATTCAGAAGGAAAAGGGAGGAACAGGGTGCAGCCCACACCCCAGGTGATGGAGTGATGCTGTCCCTCCCACCGTGGTCCCGTGTCTGAGCCTCGATGCCCTCATTCACCTGCTCACTCCCTCACTCATTCACCCGTTCGTGTGAGAGTGACTGGTGGCCTTCTGGTCCAACCACTAAAGGCGGAGGAAACAACAGGCAGAGTCTCCACAATGTCTCAGGTCCTGCGCGTGTGGGGTTCTCTTATTAATTGGGAGGTTAATTCTCAGGAATCAGGAGCGAATGTTTGGGGTAAGAATCCACAAGTTGTTAAGCCCAGCTCCAGGAGAGAACTTTATCCCAGGGGCAGCAGGACAGCCCACTGGAGACGTGGGCCAGGTGCACAACGGCATCCTGAGGACCAGCTGCATCAGCGACCAACGGCGGCTCCGAGCCACGTGTCCCCGTACTTGCAGGATACACACAGGGTCTCCACTTCCCCATTCTTAGCACAGACAAGAAAGGAAAGCTGCGTTCAAAGGCTTATCAATGTTTTTAACATGCCAATATTTTTTCACTTTTAATTTTTATTTATTTTTATTTATTTACTTATTACTTATTTATTTATTTAATAACACTTTATTAGATTTATTGGGGTGACAATGGTTAATATGAACATACAGGTTTCAGGTGTGGGTTTCTATGTTGCAAGATCTGTATATTGCTCTGTGTGCCCACCACCTGGAGTCGTATCTTCTCCCGTCACCATATATTAAGAGCCAATATCACTTTTGAACTTGCAGAAAAGTATGAAGAACAGTATGATGAACACCCCGGCTCGGCAGCTGTTCATCCTTTGCTGTCCAGTCTTCACAGGTTCGCACACATACTCTATTCTCACAGCCACGCCTGCGGCCTGCTCCCCGACTCCAAATCAGCTGCCCGAAGTGGGGAGACTTTGCCTCCAAAGGGTTCAGCCTTCATCCCACTCACATCAGCTCATCTAAACCGTTAAGAATAATTTCCTTGATAGTCTAATAAATACCCAGCCCCTACTATTAAATAAAGGTTTTACATAAACTTCCATTTCTTTTCTAATAAAGTCCATCTTCAACCACATGGACAGAACACGACCAACTGAAAGTCTCCCTCTCCACCCTCTCGGCACTTAGGCTCTCTCCCACCCCCTAAATTTCACTGACCCTCCCTGGAGATCCACAGGGTGATTCTACACACATTAGAAATGCAAGTTCTCCCGCCCACGCCAGGCCTGCAGAGCCAGAGCCTCTGCGGATGTCTGGTGTGTGGCCCCCAGGGGACACCGAGGCAGCTTCTTAACCCTGAGGGCTAGCAGCTGGAGGACCGTCCCTTCTCTAGGTGTGCACGGCCGACTGGGGGGGTCAACACAGAAACGAAAGGACAGGTTTCATTTCCTCTGCATCTTTAGGAGTTAACTGGTCCTCTCTCAATTTCCCACCTGAGGAATGAGATGCCAGGTGCTCCGGAAGGACTATTCTCCCCACAAAACACAGATGGCGGAACCTCTGCCACGAAATGGGATTCGGCTGTGACCTGTCAAATTATGTCAAGATGCAAGGAAGAGAGGGAGCTAAAAATAGCAGTACATGGCTGAGCACCCAGGGCTCGGGCTCAGCAACCCCAGGGCCGGGAAGAAGCTGCCGCAGCCTCGCCTCGGCTCCCGGACACTGTCCATAGGTCGCGTGCCCTTGTGCCACAACATTAGGTGTGCAAAGGACTCCAGGAAGCAGAAGCAAGCAGGTTCCTCCTGAAGATGACATTTTATAGTTTAAAAATAGAACGTTCTGAGTGTATACGATATGAGCAGTCACCCCGCAGGCAAAGCTCTTGCATTATGTAACCACGATGTGACTAAAAAGCCTATAAAGTCACAGGCTGCTGGTCAATAATATTGACTCAGTGCTCAACTGGCTGGCAAGCAAAGAGTTAATACCAAAAAATCCACAAGGAAAAAACCTCTATGCGGTGTGGACAGAGAAGTGCAGACCACCCAGCTCTGATGCTATGGCCGGGGGGGAGGGGGGGGCTCATTTAGGGGCAGGGAGAATGGGCTTTCCAGGGAGACCCTTTCTTAGCTGGCCTCGTGAAAGTTATGCAACTACCAGCAGCCATCGGCGGACTGTCCTCTGGGAATGTCTGCCTCCCTGTAGAGTGGCACCCTGGTGATAACTGTCGCTATGCTCCTCCTCAGTGAGACAACACACCCTGACTGTTTCTGAATGGATGTCAAGCATAGTGTGTGACGCGGAGATTTTGATGTGTGACGCAGAGATTTTGTGACCGGTTACTATCCTTGTGCGTCTGCATAATTCTATCAGTCTCCTCAGAAAATAGCATGCCAAGGACACTGCACGGAAGGGCCACTAGGTGACTGTCCCCTGAGGAGCAAGCAAGCGTCTCATGGGAAGGGCCCAGCTCTCAGACAACTGCCCTCTCCTCCATTCCTGTGATCCAGAATCACCATTTCTCTCCAGGTCCAAAAACCTGCAGCCCAGAAAGGCAGCAGGCACAATCCCATCGGAAACCAATTCTGCTTTCAAGAAAATCATGCGACCCCTGTTAACACCCCATCTCCCTCTTCAGTCCCAATTCCAGACATCCAACCCCACTTGCAAACCATTTTTCAGAACCAAAAACCCACAGCTGATCCTAAATGCAAAAATCCCAGGAAGGCAGAAAGCGGGCTCCTCTCGCCCCTCCCCAGGCGCCTGTGGTGGGGATTCCGGGGGATAATGGCCCTGAGACTCGCATTCCTCCCAGACACTAAATGAAGGCTTCAACCTCCAGTCAGGAACCTCCCCTGCTTTGAATTTTTACGAACCTGGCTTTAGAGCAGGACCCCATGCAGCCAAAAGGCACAGCAATGACAATCTATTTCCTGGAAATGATCTTACAAACTGGAGGTGAACAGGCATCCAGGTGGAATTTTTATTTTTAGCCCAGAGTAGTGGGTTAAAATAACATTCACATGGAAACAAAAGGCTCGTTCTGGGCTCTTGGCTGAGGCTCCTGGCTGCACCCCCCACGCCGCTCGCTAAATCCCCACCCCCAGACACTCCAGCCGCAACATGGCCATTTGATTCAAGGTAGGAAAGGCCCTCCATCTGCTGCACCTGCTCTGTGGGTATCTGCAAAGCCTTTGCCTGGAAGAGGTCCCCTAAAGCACCCTCCAAAGGATGCCCACCCCCCGTCCCCATCAGAGGTGCCTGGGGGACTCTCCCATACCTGGCGGTCCAGGAAGTGTTCTGAATGAAGGTCCTCACCCTCCCAGGAGAGTGTGTCCTGGAGGTTCCAGGATCCTGTCTCCCCAAAGCTCCCCCAAAGGTAGTGCTTGGCAAAGAGCCCCCACAGTGCTCAGGACTCACACAGCTCCTGGAACCACCTCCAACCCTGTACAGAACTGCAATTGTCAGGAAGCTCCTGTCTGCTTTTTGGGGCTGAACACCATTATTATCTGTAAACATTTTTAAATATAGACATTGCAGGAGTGTGGGGTGGGTGTGGGGGTGAGGAGGGCAGCCCTAGTCTGCGGAGTCAGCTCAGAGGCCCAAGCCCCCCACCCAAGTCCCCACTGAGCCCTGGCCTTGCTCAGGGCCAAGGCCAGCAGCTGGATGGAGCCTGGCAGAAATTGGCAGAACCAAAGCTGTAAACCCTACATACAACACCTACTGGGCCAGCAACCTCTCCTGGTCTTAGGCGAGGTCCATCAGCTAATTATAGGGGTGCTCACCCTCCTCCGTCCCCTGCCCCCACTGTCGCCACGCTGACCTGGGCAGAAGGCACCTTGCCATGCACAGTCGTGAGCTGGGCGCTGCGGTCTTAGGGCTGGGTGGCTGCCCCAAGCCAAGCCCAGGGACCACAGTGGGAGGACGGGATTCTGACCCAACCTCAGAACAAAAGCTGCGAAGGGCCCTCACTGCACCTTTTGTTTCAGGCCCAGGTGGGTAGAGACAGACGGCAAGGTCAGGCCCACAGGCTGACCTGAAGCCCCAGTGCCTGCTCCAGGTATCTCCAGTGCTGGCTTAGGGGCAACGCCCAAGAAGGAGGGAACCCAGAGCAGTGTTCTCAGCCTCAGCACTGTGACACCTGGTGACAGAATTCTCTGTCATGGGCCTGTCCTGAGGTCGTAGTATTTGGTAGCGTCCCTGGTCTTGCCCCACCAGATGCCAGAAGCACCCCCACAGCTGTAACAACCAGGGTTTCCAGACATCACTGAGGTCCCAGGGGCAGAAATGCCCCTGGCTGAGAAGCTCTGCTATAGAGAAAGTCAGCCTAGCTCTGAATCATGGCTCTGCTCCCTGGCTGTGCAAATTCGGGCAAGAGACTCCACCTCTCTGAGCCTCAGTGCTCTCTGCAAGAGACTGATTCAGGGACTGATTCAGGAAGCTCTTGCTATTAACAGTCAGTTTTGCTCTGTCCAGAGGGGCCCAGATCCTTCCGGCCAATGCAGATAAATTCAGGGTTGGGGCTGCGCTCTGGAGCAAGGCCTGCCCAGGGCTGAGCTCTGCTCCCACCTCACTGCAGCTAGGACACCACTCCCATCTCTCCATCTCCAATCACCCAGACAGGGTCAACCACAAAAACTCCCTGAGCAAGTGCCAGGCTCCCTGAGAGGCATTCGTGGCCCTGGGACCAGCTCTCAGAAAGAAGGTCCATCATCAGATCCCTCTCGACAAAATTCAGGAGCTATCACTTGGCCAGGAATTTCCAATATCTGGACTGACTAGGTTCTCTCCAGAGGCCATGGAGGGAAGGATTCTGTCCCATTCTACAGAGGAGGAAACAGACCCAAGAAGGCTCAGCAAGGTAGCAGGTGGAAGGGAGGCCTGACCCAGATGGGGACACTCCTGACACACTGACACATAAATTGTGAGAAGTTGACAAGTATATTAGGACTGTCCCAGAAACCTGCATGTTTATTTAAATCCACAAACCATATTGGTTTGGACACGGGAGACACACAAGTGCAGTGGGGTGACCTCCGCCCTCAGGTCTCTCACAAGCGCTGCACCTGGCGTGTCTGATCTACGGCAACTCCTCGGCTCAGTTTCCGCCCCCCTCGCCAATCCCCCCGACACCAGCCTAGTGACCCACGCTCACCTCTGGCCTGGAGCCCACAGCAGCCGCCTCCCGTCTCCCCACATCCCAGCGGGCCACCCTGGGGCCACCTCCCAGGGTGTGTGGGCAGGGGAGGGGGGTGGGGGGGTTGAGGAGCAGGGACGGTGGAGGGGAGAGGGGAGGCGAGCTGAGCTGCAAAGTGCACAGGTGAGCTGAGGGGAGCACACTTCCCGGGAATAAGGCCGGAGGGCGCTGCTCCCATGTCCTGCCCCACGCCCCACGTGTCTGCACTATCTTCACGTGCCACACGCAGAGGGCAACATCCCCCTACTCCTCACACCCCGGAGGGTGCACCATCCCTCTCCCTGAGGTCCAGGTGAGGAACCGGGGCTCAACGAGCACAAGTCATCTGCCAGGTCACAGGGATCGCAGAGAGTGGGGTTCCAGAGCCAAGATCCTAGCCATGACCGCTGCCCCTGGAAGTCAGGGCTACACTCCCGACCGCTTATGCTGCACTGTGCAGGTGTCTCCTTAATGACCCGCACACCCGGGCGAGGTGGGCAATGCTATCATTCCCGTGTAGAGATGGGAGACTGAGGCTCAGAGAGGTGAGAGGTCAATGGAACACCTGAAGGAACACCTGACCCTCCTATCTCACCGCCCCCCGAACCTCCCATCCTTCCAGCTGGGGGCAGCTCCTCCCAGGGTTATTTCTATCCAATTCAGCCTCCCCCGTGGCCCAGTGGCCAGCTGGCATGGAGACTCAGTCACTCCCAGGACCCCGCCACCTGCTTGCCCCACCATCCACGTTTCTCATTTCTGATCCCAAGCAGACAGCATAGCAGCCGCTGGGGAGACCAGACGCCACCACACGGCGCTCCCGGCAAGCTAATTTCACGTGGCTTCAGCTGGGCACTGAGCACTTTCGGGGCCCTGCTCGTCCAGCTGATGCTTCGATCCCGTCCCGGTCCTCGCGGGGGTGCCATCGGGTGAAACCTCTTTGCGAGACACTGTCTGTTAGCTCAGCCCTTCCGCTGGGCGGTCCCGACTCATGTTCCGAGAGGCTTAGAACATTTCCCTTCTTAAAGCCAGGTCCCAGCGTCCATCCCGAGGAGGATCCCGAATACACCCGAAGGCTCGCCTGCTTCGCCGGCGGCCCCGCTGAGCACGCTGAGGCCCTGAAGACGTCCTACGGAAAGAGAGCAGGCGAAGCACAGTTCACCCAAGTGGGCACCCTAACCAAACACTGCGCATGCCTGCCATTTGGGGAGTGAAACTTCAATTTAGACTACTTGAAATAAATCCTTTTATTTGATTACAGAACAAAATAAAACAAAGCAAGCCAGGTGCAGAACAAGCGTATTATCCTCTGGGTCGGGGAGGCAAGAGCCAGCACACAGCACAGGTGTGAGGGCTGGGACCTGGAGGTGGCCAGCGGAACCCTGTGGCCAGGCTGCGACCGGACAGGACTCTCTCCCCTGATGAGTAAGAGCAGAGGCTTCGCAGAGAGGGGCAGGTTCCGGGAGCTGGCTGTGACCGACGGCATCCAGCTGGTTGGCAGGAGATGCGCGGCTTCTGGTAAATCATAGAGGTGAGACGTGAACCAAGGTCTCGATGACTCTGCCATACTGGGATACGTGAGAGGGCGGGCCAGCAGCTCTGTGGCCTGGCCGAGGCTGAGAAGGCGGGTGCAAGCTGATCACACGATTTCTGCCACCACCAAGGAGCCAGTTCCGTGCCAGCAGGAGAGGGATGTTTGGAGGCTGGGATAAGGGCTGCCGGCCGAGGCTGAGATCCATGGAGAGTGACCTCAGGATACCCAAGATCCAGGCGTCCAGGCCGGGTCAACAAGGACACTGTGCCCGGGCATGGCTACGAGACAGAAGAGGGGGGCTGGGGGTAAGGTCACAAGGGGGTGAGGGCAGGCAGGACTGTACCAGAGGGCAGGCTGCTTGAGTTTAATTGCAGAGGAAGAGCCCTTTCATCGATGCAGAGATCCAGGCCGTGGCCGTGGAGGTGGGCTGCCGAAGGAAGGACGGTAACCTACCTCTGACTCCTCGGTCAGTGCTCTGTTTGCAGGTTCTCACTTCCCTGCCCTCTTTCTGGGGGGAAACTTATTGTTTTTCTTACCCACTTATCATTCACCCACAGACCACCACTTGCCCAGGATACCAAATAAATCTATCCTTAATAAGTAAGAGCCTCCTCTCTGCTGGGGGTTTCTCTCCTGGGTGTTTAGGGGAAGGAGAAGCCTTGAAAGAAAACAGGCACCTGTCAACAATTTATGCCAAAAAGAAATGTGGCCGTTCCTACAGGCATCTGATCATCATGGGCATTCTCCTGTTAATGTAGTTGGTAGAATATAAAATATAATCCTCATGCCTCATTCCTCCACTAAAAGTAAAAACAAAACAGAAACCAGAATGGTTCTTCATTGGGCATTTTCAAAATTATAAAATTTGTTCCACACCCAGTTCCTAGCCATTTATATCTCCATTGTACAAAGTAAGGGACTGACGCTCAGAGACGCTCAGAGGCCTCCCCGAGGCTACACAGCTGGAGAGTGGAGCTGCTCAGGGCTCTGAGCCTAGGTGAGCTGGCCCAGAGCCAGGGTCCCCCCGCCACACGTTGGACCTGGCACTGTGTGAGGTGTCAGCGGTCATCACACTGTGAAAAGTGTACAAGCTTTATTTACTAAGCTGAGCTAATGGTCTACAGGTCAGTTTTACAGAACAGCTTTCACTCAGTAAGGGTCACCGGAAAGGTTTTCAGCCTCATTTGTGTAACAGAGAGAAAAAAGGGTAACTTAGGGGATGTGAGGCTCTTTACTAGGTCCAGTCATATTACCTGGGCACCTGCCAACCCG